TGTTTCTAAATTAGAAGTATTATTTTTTCTTTTATTATTATTTGAATCAATATTAAAAAAATTATAAAGTGTATTTGACTTATTATCCTTTTCTTGCTGATATTCTTTATAATTTGCGAAGTTTAATGAAACTTTTTCAAGCAGATTATATTACTATTTCTGAGATTTATACACATTTAAATGCAACTATTGATGTAATTACTACTCAATATATTGGTCGTAATAGAATTCCACCAAACTATGGAAACTTTTTAAGAGAATATATTGATATAAGAAAGTTTTTACAAATCCCAATTGAAAATTTTGTGCCAAAAAGCATTTGATATAAGAAAATCTCGATGTAAGAAAGATTTTATCTGGACCCGGTGACTTTTTTATATCAAGAGTTACATGTATAATAATTTAAAATAATTACCAAGCATTGTACTAGCACCATCGCTTCCCATATGATACATATTATTAATATTAATTTTTTTTGCTATTAAAAAAAGATTAATATTATCAACAATTGGTTGCGCAGCTGCATCATCTAATTGTATAATACCCAAAAAACGTACAACTGGATAATTATCTGATAAATGTTTAGAACAATTGCTAACATTTTTTCTTGTTTAATTGTATTACTTTCATCAATTTGAATACTCCAATATAGCGATTTTTGAATTTCATTACTTAAACTTTCTTCAATAACAAATGAAATTGCTTCTAAAAATTCACTTGCAGAAACATCATTATTATATGAACCATATTCTGAACGTATTGTATTAGGAGGATCAACAATTGATTGTACTTTTTTTAAACCAACAAAAGGTCCAAATAAAGCTTCATCTCTTGCCTCATTAAATTGTTGAGTATTTAATTTTTTTAAATCTCTTAATCCATGAGTAGCATAATGATGTTTAGCTAAAAAATATATATGTTGCATAATTTGAATAATTTCTAATTTATCTTTTGACATTGAAAGCCTAAATCCAGATTCAATTGTTGTTTGATTATGCATAATTGGTATACTTTTTTGATGATCTAGTGTATTTGTATGTTTAACTAAAACATCATGCTTTAACCATTCACATCCTTGTGTAAATAGGTTCTTTTTTTTTGCAGCTTTGCATAAAGTACAAAACATTTTGCCACCATCATCTTTTTCTTCATAATGTAGCCAATTAAATTCATCTTTCCATTTTAAATTAAATTTTAAATTTTTTTTAGCAAGTCGATTTTTTTTAGTTGTATCATTATTTGTATTTTAGTCAGTATT